GCTTAAGAGTCTGGGTGGTTCCCTGGGTTTGGAGAGACTGTGAAGTGGTGGGCTGGCCTCTCCCCTCCCTCTGGAAGGGGGGTGGTGTCTGCAGGGAGGCAGTGATCCTCCCATGAGGACTGCCTAGGAGCCCCTGAAAGCAGCTTGGTCCCCAGGCGCTCCCCCACGGCCTGCGGGCCCCCGTGTCCCTCCCCGGGACCCCACAAGCTGCCCTCCCAGTCTGCGGGCCTCCCCGACTTGGATTTTGTTGGGACCAGTGTTCTGGGCACAGGGACCATACCGCTGAGCCCGGTGCTACAAGGGCCTCCCGAGACCCCGTCCTCGGTTCCTTTGACCTGGGGACCTGGCCTGCATACCACTCAGGGCTGGCTCAGAAGCCCTCACCCACCAGGTGACTGTCCCCAGACCCCAAAAAGCACTCAGGCTTTGCACCTGCTCACCTATAAGACCAGGAGGGTGGGCCCCTTCGGCCCTTGGCGGCCCTATCCCAGGCCCAGGTCCCAGGTCTCACGTGTCACCCAGCAGACCAGCTCCTCCCAGCTTACCCAGGACCATCCGGGGCTTATAGTGAAAAGCCCTTGTCCTTGGAGTCGCTGCAGCCCCAGGGAAGCCAGGACCATTGGCCCCTCCGTCTGATCTCTGGGTGCAGATCAGGCCTGCTGGGCTCCTCCCTGTACCCCCACACCCACACGGGTCGTATGGAGCCCAGGGTTCACCGCAGCACACCAGCCTGACGCACTCCCGGAGCCCTGGGACTCCCCGAGGCTAGGGAGCTGGGCGCCCGCAAGGGAAGCACCAGGCAGGACATCCAGAGCTACCTCCCATCCCGAGGTCCCCTGGGGCCTCCCGCTGGGTGGTTCCCCGTCCAAGACTGATCGAGACTGGCCAGGGGTCAGTGAGGAGCCATGGGCTCGCGAGGGACTCTCCTTGCTGGCACCCCTGGCCTGTGTGCGTCTCGTGTGTCTTTTGGGGAGCCTGCCTCAGGAGCCTCTGCCCCACCCCCCCACTACCTGACTTTGTATTCCGTGTAAGCAGCCTTGGGGGAGGGGAGACCCGCGATTCTGGGGAAGTGTGCTGAGTGCCTCAAGGTAACTGGTTTTCAAAAAAAAAAAAAAAAAGCTCTTTAAGAAAAATGATTTTATCCAGATGTCACCACAGCTGGCTGGATTCCTTGGGATGTTTTTAAGCAATCCTCCCTGAAGTTGACCTGGAGAGCTGTCCTGTACATAACAGCACTGTAGCAATAAGTGACATTTTATGACAATGCTGGCTGCCCCAAGGCTCTCAGCTGCTGCGCTTACAGAGCAACAGGGGAGGGTCCCATGGCAGGTGGCCACGCTGGGGGTCTGGGGACAGAGGCTGCGGCCCTGGGCGTGCGAGCCTCTGGGGGCAGCCGTGACAGACAGACACACACACACACACACACACACGGATGTGGCCTAAACCTCCAAGAATTTATTCTCATTCTGGAAGCGAAGTCCCAGGACAAGGTGCGGAGGGGCTGCCTGCCCTCCCTCTCGTCCAGCTTCTGGTGGTCCAGGTGGCCCTCAGCTTGTAGCCACACCACTCCCTCCACCTTCTCGTGGCTTCTCTCTTTGCACATGTCTGCGTCCAAATTCCCCTCTTACAAGGAAAGCCACAGAGTGACAGGAAAGGTGCTCAGCATGATGGTTCCAGAACCAAAGCTCAGGTCAGGCGGGAAACCTGCACTTGTAACAAGGGCTCCTGGTGGTCTGGGCCTGGGCCTGGCTCACCGGGGCAAAAGCCACTCCCTGAGATACTGCCTGTTAATTTTTAGAATAATGTAATATACCAAAACCCACTGGATTATGCACGTTGTGTAAGTTGGATGGTGTATGAATTGTACAAAAAAGGTGTTTAAAAACAGATGATAAAGGGGGCGTCTGAGTGGCTCAGGTCATGATCTCACGGTTCGTGAGTTTGAGCCCCGCGTCGGGCTCTGTGCTGACAGCTCGGAGCCTGGAGCCTGCTTCGGATTCTGTGTCTCCCTCTCTCGCTGCCCCTCCTCCTGCTCATGCCCTGTGTCTCTGTCTCCTCTCTCTCAAAAATAAACATTAAAAACAATGAAGTGTTCAGTGAGGCACCACCCCCCCACCCCAGGACCAGCTCCGTGGGCGTCACCCCCCTACCCCAGGACCATCTCGTGGGCATTCTGGGAGGAGCACTGTCTGACCCGCCGGAAGGAACTGCAGAGGCAGGGGGCAGCCACAGGAGACAGTGCCACGGATGTGCCCACGACCTAGCAGCGGCAGTGGTGTCCTGAGCACAGTCACAGCGTGCAGGTCACTGTGCTCTGGCCGCGTGCCTTCGCCCCGGCCCCGGACAGCCCCAGGCCTTCCCGGCTCTTGGGAGGCCGCACTCGGCCCGGGCCTGACCGGAACCCCCAGCAGTCCTGCTGCCCTCTCCCCCACCCCGGCCAGGGCAGAACAGCACGTGCCACACCAAGACAGGGACAGCCCCTCCCCGCTAGTTGTCCTCGGAGACCACCCCACGCCACGGTGTGACGCCAACGGCTCTTTAAGAGATGCCCACGTCCAACCCCGGAGCCTGAGATCGTGGCCTTGTCTGGAAAAAGGGCTTTTGCAGATGTAATTAAGGATCTTGGGGCAGGATGGGCCTCCCATCAGTGACAAGCATCCTCGTAAGAGAGAAGAGAAGCTGCGAGCCAGGGGCACCTGGAGCCCCCAGGGGCTGGAAGAGGCAGATGGAGGCAGCCCCGTGACACCACCCCGGAAATCCTGTCTGTCGTCTCGAGCCACCCAGTGTGACCACGGCAAACAGCGTGGGTGTCCTTTTTAAAGCAGCAAAATACCCAAATCCAGCAGGAACTCACACGTCTCTGGCAGGAGCCTCAACAGGTGTGACTGCTTCGGAAAAATGCGCTGTCGTGCCCCCGGCGCTAAGGTCATGTTGCACATCAGTTACGCCTGCCCGTGCCTCCCGGCCCGGACGTGACTGTTCATCAGCCACATCCGGAACTGCCCAAACTGGGAGCAACCCAAATGCCCTTGACCAGGTGAGTGGGTGAACACAGGTCCACCCTTCCACGGAACACGACCAGGGGTAGAAGGAACGTGCCAGTGACAGACACGGTAAGCTGGAGCACTCGGCAGTCACCGTGTCGCACGGGGGAAGCCAGGCACCAAGGAGAACATACTGCATAGAAAAGTCTAGAAGATGCAGGTGAACTGACAGAAGGGTGGTTGCTGGGGGTGGGAGAGGGTCCAGAAGGGCGGGAGGAAGGCTCGAGGGCACCTTGACCGCCACAGTGCTCCCGTGCGCACGCACAGGTCCAATATCCCGTCGTATGTTTTCAGGATGTGCGTTTTTGTAGGTCAAGTATATCTCATTAAGCGGTAAAGATTTTTAAATGAAAAAAAAAATCCATCAACGGGGAAACAGATACACGCGTCCACCACACACACGAGGGCATGTCCCTCGGCCACAGCAGGAGCGAGGCGCCCACACCTGCCGCCCCGCGGACAGACCCCGAACACACAACACTCAGGGAGGGAACCAGACACGAGACGCCACACGGGGTGAAACTCAGTTTATGTGAAATATCCACAACGTGCTCATCCACGGACAGGAAGGGGGCTCGTGGCGGCCGGGGGCTGGGAAGGGGGGGGGTGACAGCTGATGGGGACGGAACGGAGCTTCTGGAGGCGATGAAATCTGTCTGCAACTAGACAGAGGGAGTGGTTGCCCAACTTTGTGAACGCACTCAATGCCACCAAAATAATTCAGTTTAAAATGGTTAACTGTACGTGGGGCGCCTGGGTGGCTCAGTCGGTTGAGCCTCCGACTTCGGCTCAGGTCATGATCTCACGGTTCGTGGGTTCGAGCCCCGCGTCGGGCTCTGTGCTGACAGCTCAGGGCCTGGAGACTGCTTCCGATTCCGTGTCTCCCTCTCTCTGCCCCTGACCCACTCGCATTCTGTCTCTGCCTCTCTCAAAAATAAACATTAAAAAAATAATAATAAAAATAAAACGGTTTACTGTATGAATGCCACAGCAATAAAAACAAGAAAAGGAGTCCCGTTTCCCCCAAGGGCCAGACAGAACTATCACAGGGAGTCCTGGAGGCCCCGGCAGAGGACCAGCAGGATGTGAGAAAGGAAGGCACTTTTCGCTTATCTACCACCTCCTGGGCTCTCAGAATCCTGGCTATTCCCTTTTGGGGGTCCTCCCCGCCCCAGCTTCAGCTCACGTCCTCTGAGGAGTGTCTGCCTCCGCTCCACTTCCACAGCAGGCCAAAGACAACAGGCCTCCCAACGTTTCCTGCAATGACTGGGGAAGAGCGGTCTTCCTTCGAGGGCTGCTGGAACGTTAACCCAGAGTTTCCACACGCCACTGCTCAGAGAGAGCTCACCAAAGGGCAGGGACAGCTCTCAGATGAGCTGAGACATGGAGGAAGAGAGATCCGTAATGATACTGCCAGACTCCTGGATCTAGCCGTGCCTGAAGCCATCCAACATGCCATAACGCTTCCTTCTTTTCTCTTACACTGGTTTTTGGTTTGTATCACTTGAAAGAAAAACATTCTGCCTTATGAGCTGAAGTGCATTAGGCAGAAGGAGCAATGAGGCAAGGCTTCAGGAACTGCTGGACCCAGGACCTGCAGCCCTCAGGTCCCTATGCCCATCTCTACTCACTTTTTCAGGCAGCGTTATTCTGTGTCTCTCTCAACAATCTTCGTGACGGCCTCTATATCCGGTTTAAGTTTCCACCAACCGACAGATCCCCTGCGATCCCAAGCTCAAAACCCCAGAGCAACTGTAAAGACGAGAAACGACGTCCAATCCAGGAACGAGCACCTGCGGAGCCCCGACCGTGGTCTCTACACGTCATTGCCGGGACCCACCCGCAGTCTGCGGCCAGGGCCGGGTCGGGACCTGCAGCCCCCATGGGAACTGCCGTCTTGCAGGAAACCGGGGAGCGGCCGCCCGGAGCGGGGCAAGGCGGGGCTCCGGTCCTTACCTCCTGCATTCGGTGCCGGGGCCGCAGAGGCAGTGACTGGAGCGGGCGAGCCCAGGCGGGCCCGGGGGACCCACCCGTCCCGGCGGGCCGTCCGCGAACAGAACGGACGCTTGCGGCTCCAGGAGCCGGGCCGCCCTCCGCCGCCAGGGCGAGGTCGACGTGCGACAAGCTGCCCACCGGGCCTCCGAACGGCAGGCAGCTCCGGTGCGCGCACTGTGGCTGCGGAGGCGCGGCCATGTGGCCTACGTCCCGCCGACCGTTCCAGGCGTGGCTTCAAGCGGCACCCTTCCCTCTGTGCGACCCCGGGCAAGTCCCCTTCCCCGCGGGGCCCGTCTCCTTAATTGCGAACGAAGTTCTGGCAGGCAGCAAAGACACAGAATCACCAGCCAAATGTCGCCAGCGGCTGCGCTGCTGGGGGCCACTCGGACCGCGGGCGCGGAGACCGCACCCTCCTCCCGGCCCTGCCCACTCTCTGCCGCATCCGTAACGACTTCCGACTCTCCCCGGAAGTGGCTGCAAATGTCTTCCGGGTCTGCGCGCGCAGCAACGGGGGGCGCCGGGCGTAGCGCCTTCGGCTCGCCCGGGGCGGGGCCTTCCGGTGCGCCTGCGCGCTGCGGCGGCCGCGCTTGCGCAGGACGACGGGGAGGCAGCCGGGGTCACCCTGAGCTGCGCACCGCGCCGAGATGCTGAGCAGGTTCCTGGGCCCGCGCTACCGGGAGCTGGCCAGAAACTGGTGAGCATGTGCCCCCGGGCCCCGTCGTCTCCAACCGGGACCCCTTCTGGAGCCGGGTCCCAGATGGGACAGGCGCAGAGCGGCGGAGCGGCAGGCTCCTGACCTCCGCCTGGGCGCACACGGCCGCCGGCTCTCTGCAGCACCCCCGGCTCGGGCGCCCGCGGGCACAGCAGGGACACGGGGCGGGTGGCGCACACCCTCCCTAGAGGGAAGGCTCCTGGGACATCACTAAGCCTCGCGGCCGTGGGGCGGCGGCAGGAAAAGTTGAGCCCAGAGGCTGTGCCCACATCAGCAATAACCCGTGAGCCCGCCGAGGCGCCAGGTGGGGGGCGTGGGCCGCACTCGGGGGTCGTCGCTGGCGAGGTGGGGGGCCTTCCAGCCCTCACCCCCACCGTCGCAGGCGCGCGGCTGACCACGATCCGGCCAGGTGAGGACGGACCTGGAATAGTTACATAGCTAGTGGCTCCGCAGAGCGGGCAGCTTCAAACTACCAGCATGTATCCTGTCCCAGTCTGTGTGGGTCAAGGATGCGGGCACCCCTGGGCTGGGGCCACCACACAGTCTCAGGAGGCTGCAGTCTCGTCCAAAGGCTCTGCTCGGGGGTCTTCCCAGGCTCGAGTGTGTGATTGCTGGAGGGGCTCCTTTAGTTCTCTGCCATGTGGGCTCCTCTGTAGGGCAGCTCAGGTGGCCGCTGGCTTCCCCCAAAGAGAGCAGGAGCAAGCCAGAGCGCCTGTGCTGGAAGCTTGTGTTCATAAGGTCACCCCTGCGAGCCTCGCTCATTACAGACCAGACACTGGGTCCTGCCCAGACGCCGAGGGGGGAGGTACACCAGGCATGAACATCAGGGGGGACTGTGGGAGCCACTGTGGACTCCCACAAATCACAGGACATAGTGAGGAGTGGCCATGGTGGGTCAGAGCTAGACTCAGCTCGGTGCCCTGGATCTGCACCATGTGGCCGAGTATCCTTGGGGTAGTGACCTGCTCTTCCTGTGCTGTGTGCTCCCCGTCCCTAAGACCAAGACCCTGATACTCCCCTCAGTCCTATGGCCGTCATGAGTCAACTGTAAACCTCATAGTTGGTGCCTGCACGCAGACGTTAGCTATTGTGACGGGTGGTTATGAGCTTGGGGTTTTAACTTTTTTTAAGCAAATTCTACCCCCCCCCCCCCCCCCCCCAAAAAAACCTTAAGAAGATCCCAGTGCAAAAGCAGATGGGAGTGAAGGCCACTGAGGCTCTTCTGCTGTGTGCCCACCCCGTGGAGCTGTCAGAGGCTCTGCATACACCGGGCAGGGGCTGGGGGGTGGTGGGTGCTGAATCGGTGGCAGCTGGGGACGGGGAGAGACCCAGAAATACAGCTGGGAGGGACATTCCCGGGCAGGACCTGACCCCCGCTGTCCTCTGGCAGGATTCCCACAGCAGGCATGTGGGGCGCCGTGGGCGCCGTGGGGCTGGTGTGGGCCACGGACTGGCGGCTCATTCTGGACTGGGTGCCGTACATCAACGGCAAGTTTAAGAAGGACGATTAGTGAGACTGACCCTCCTCGGATCCCTGTGGTAAGTTTCGGCAGCCGTCAGCAGGTGAACCCTGCGGTTCCCGCGTGGCAGAAGGGGCTTCCGTGGGGCTGCTTCTCCATACCCCCAGAGCTGGGGTGGCACGTCCGGGAGGCTCACCTGCACCGTCGGCCCTGGAGAATCCTGCCCGAGGGTGGGGCTCTGGGCTGGGCCCTGCACGCACCTCCTGCCCGCCAACGCAGAACTGCCAACCAGCACCCCTGGGCGTGGGACTGGGGAAGGGGCAGTGCCCCCGCACGGCCAGCCCGGGGGCTGACTGCGCATCCCACACCATGCCGCCCCGGTCGGCCCAGCCCCGGGCGTGATGGAGGGATACCCCATTGTACAAGCGGGGCAGGGGGGAGCTGACCCACAGCTGCTGGCCTGCCTGTGTGCCAGTCTGCAGTCCGCATGACAGGCTGCAGCGCCTCCTATATCCCCATCTTCCAGAAGGGCCCCCGGGCCTGCGGCAGCCAAGCGGCATCACCGGATTTGATTTTGGAGCCCGACAGTGGCGTCTGTCCCTCATCACCACTCAGCGTCTCCTTTCCTACAAGAGCAAGGAGCCGGGGGCTCACCCTGCCGTCTCCCCTCCAGGTGTCCGTGGTGCTGCCCCTCCCACGTGAGGTCCTGTGGTGCCTGGAACAGCCCAGCGTGACTCCGGACTCTGTGTTTCTGACAGCAGCTTTCATGTTTGAATGCACACAGCATTAAACCGTGCTCTGAAACCCGCCCCCCCCCGACGTGGTCATGATGGCGACTTGGTAACCTTCACCGCAGCCCTGGTGGCTCGAGTGACTGACCCCTGGGGTCCTTTCAGTTCCAAAATTTTGCAAATTAGAAATTTCTCAATGGCTGGCAGAAGTTGGTTACTTAAGATGCTTAATGGGTAAGACCTGTAAAGCGTACCTATCGCTACCTTAAGAAATTTCCCCACAACTTGGTGTAAAACAGCAAACGTCTATTACCTCTGGGTTTCTGTGGGCAAGAATTTAGGAGTAACTTAGTCGGGTGGTCCTGGCTCCGGATGGCTCAGGAGGAAGCAGTTAAGGCATCCGAGGCTGGACCGGGGCGGGAGGAGCTGCTCGCGTGGGTGCCCTCGTGTAGGGGCCTCGGGGGCCACTTTTCATCTCTGTAGGTGGACACCATGGGTCTTTAGTGACCTTTCCCCAGAAGTGTCTCCATCATCACCTCGTCCACACCTGTCAGAAGCACGGACCCACATCCAATCCTCACTCCAAGGGAGGAGAACTTGGGAAGAGTCTCAGACCTTGCAGGCATGTTAACCCATCACGTGAAGGTCACAAAAATGAGCAGGTACAGAAGGACCTGTGGCACACAGTCCGTTCTCTCCCTCCTGCCCGGTTCTGGAAAATTCTAGAAACAGTGTGCACATACATGCACATTTGTGAACACAGCTGTTCTGTTAGTCCGCCGTTACAAAACACCAGACCGGGTGGCTCAAGCAACAGGATAAAAATGTTCTCCATTCTGGGGGCTGGAGGTTGAGATCCAGGTTCTAGCAGGGCTTGTTTCTAGGAAGTTCCTGCTTCCCGAGTTGCAGACTGCCAGCTGCCTTCTTGCTGTGTCCTCACAGCAAGGCCTTTCTTCAGTGCACCTGTGCAGGGAGGGAGGGACAGCGAGTCTCTGAGGACGCGAACCCTATCTGGACAGGGCCTGACCCTTCTGACTTTGCTTTCCCCGCATCACACCCCCCGGGGCTCGTCTCCAGCAGCCACACTCGGGACTAGAGCTTTAGCACAGAATTGACGTGGCGGAGGACACGTTCGAAACCGCTGCACGTTTCAAGTCGAGTACTGGCGTTTGTGATCCCCTCTTCTGCACATCATTTTTTTAGCCAGGGCATGTTTCCTGGGGCCCATAGCACCGCAGACAATGTCTGCGGCTGTGAGACGGGTGCCCAGTACCAACACTTAACTGGTCTGTTAGATCCTGTCGATGCCGTCATAACAACACCTGTGTCACGGTGTCACTGCAGACACGTATAAATAATGTCTCGCTTAAACACAAGTGAACAGCTCTGAGATAAGTGAGTTGCTAAGTTTTTCTGCTTCTGCTTTTTATTTATTTTTTTTTTCAACTTGTTTTAATTTATTTTTTTGGGGACAGAGAGAGACAGAGCATGAATGGGGGAGGGGCAGAGAGAGAGGGAGACACAGAATCGGAAACAGGCTCCAGGCTCTGAGCCATCAGCCCAGAGCCTGACGCGGGGCTCGAACTCACGGACCGCGAGATCGTGACCTGGCTGAAGTCGGATGCTTAACCGACTGCGCCACCCAGGCGCCCCTGCTTCTGCTTTTTAAACAATTCCCAACTCACGCAGGGGCTGGATAGTCCACAGCCCCGGGGCTGTGCTGAATCGTAGCATGACCTGAAGCGGAAAGAAACGTGTGCCCCTATTCCCATAATTTTGTGTGTTTTTGTAACGTTTAATGGTTTTAATGAAAATATAGCTGAGTTTGCTTCCATGAAAGCCAGAAAAGTCATTCTAACTCAGACTCTGTTATAAATACAATATTTAAACAAATTACCGTGAGTTTTAATACGGCTTTTCAGGGACACCTAGGTGGTTCAGTCTGTTAAGCGTCTGGCTTTGGCTCAGGCTCATGAGTTTGAGCCCCACATCTGGCTCTCTGCTGTCAGCGATCCCCCGTCTCCCTCTTTCTGTCCCTCCCCTGCTTGCACACGCTCACTCGCTCTCAGAAATAAGTATTTTTTTTAAAATACAACTTTTCGGTATTTTTTAAAACTTGACTTAGCAAGCAGGGGAGGGACAGAGAGAAAAATCCCAAGCTGGCCCCATGCTGTCACTACAGAGCCCTTTGCGGGACTCAAACTCCCGAACCTCAAGATCATAACCTGAGCTGGAATCGGGTCGGCCGCTTGACCGGCTGAGCCCCCCAGGCACCCGCACAACTTTTCAGTATTTTAATGCTTTCCCAACCACTTTAAGTCCTGAGGGGGGCGGAGTCACAACTCTTTCATTTTGTCTTGGGCTCCACAATGGCTCAGCACAACGCTATTCGATCCTTTATCTAAAAATTTGACATTTTAGAGAAATAACAAAAATCTGACATCTTGGAGACGCCTGGCTGGCTCAGTTGGTAGAGCCTGTGACTCTTGATCTCAGGGTCATGAGTCTGAGCCCCACATTGGCTGTAGAGCTCACTTATAAATAAATAAAAGTTGACATTTCGTGTGTCACGGGTTTTTGCATTCATCTTAAGTGGTTACAGTAGTCACAGTAG